GATGACTCAAGAGGAGGTGTGCCTATCTCTTGAGCATGCAGACGTGAAGGTTGTGCCAGCTTCGACCTTTGCAGTCACTGAAAGCATGGAGTGGGGAGATCCCACCAAATGTCATATCTGTGGAGAGGTAGGTCACTGGAAGATAGAATGTCCAACTCGCGGCAGAGGTAGGGGATATAACAGAGGGGGAACGGGCAGAGACAGAAGTGCTAAAGGCAGAGGGGGAACGGGCAGAGACAGAAGTGCTAAAGGCAGAGGTGGATACTCAGAGACCTCATGGGGCCAAGCTGCTAGAGGCAGAGGTGGCTACTCAGGACACTCAGGGGGTCAGAGGGCTCACATGGCCGTTGCAGGAGACACTGGGACGTCCAAAGACAAAGATGTAGATGATGTTGTCTATGGAGATTTTGCTCACTGGGCCTCCACTGATGAAGGTAATCCGGAAAGAGCATCTCTTACTACTAATGAGAGTGCTCCAGAGTGTTCTTGACTCTGGAGCATCTAAGCATGTTGCTAGTAAATCCTGCGTGTTCGAGTCTTACAATAAGCATCCTCCCTCTCACACGGGCACCATACAAACGGCTGATGGCACAAAACAGCCTGCCATAGGGGTTGGTACAGCAAAGTGCACTCCGACCATTTCTCTATCGTCAATTTTACATGTGCCAGCCTTTCCTATCAATTTGGTCTCTTTCAGAGCTCTCATTGATCAAATAGACTATCATGTGATCCTTGACAAGTTCGGTTGCTTGATTCAGGAGCGACAGACGAGCCAGACGGTTGGGACTGGCACAGGCGTAGGGGGCTCTGGTGTACATGGACCAGGAGGTGCAGCCGGACTTGGTGTGTGCTGCGACCATGGAGGACAAGGAGAAGCAGGCGATGATCAATCACTGTAGGATGGGGCATGTATCTTTTGATAAGATGAGTAGAATATTTCTGGAAGTTATGTGTGGCATAGGCAAGAGCAAGCTGACGTGTGATGCTTGCGAATATGCAAAACACACACGAGCCTCATATGTGAGTAAGGGGCTCATGAGCATATCTCCTTTTATGCTTATTCATTCGGATGTATGGACTAGCCACGTGGTGTCAATGAATGGGAAGAAGTATTTTGCTACCTTTGTTGACTGCTATTCTCGTATGACTTGGATTTACTTGATGCGTCACAAGGATGAGGTGTTTAGCTGTTTTCAGAACTTCCATGCTCTTTGCTCTTGTAACGAACCAATTTCAGGTGCAGGTCAACATGCTCCGGACTGACAATGGCACAAAGTATGTGAACAACAGTTTTGGGGCTTTCATGGCTGACCAAGGGATTCTACATCAACCCCTCCCCCCCCCCTCTCAGAATGGAGTGGCCGAAAGGAAGAATCGTCATATTATTAAGGTTGCTCGGTCGTTGATGTTTACCATGAATGTGCCTAAGTTCTTGTGGGATGATGCAGTTATGACAGCCACATACTTGATCAACCGGACACCTTCCAGGATACTAGGCATGAAATCTCCGTCTGAGTTGCTCGTTGGAGATAATAAGTTTGTTGTTCCCCCAAAGTTGTTTCGCAGTACCTGCTTTGTTCGTGATCACCGACCTTCTGTTGGAAAGCTTGATCCTCGGGCAGTGAAGTGTGTCTTTTTGGGATACTCATCTAGTCAGCAAGGGTATAAATGTTGGTGTCCCTTTGAAAAACGCAGGTTTGTTAGTATGGATGTTACCTTCAGGGAGTCTGAGCCATTCTATGGTTAGCCGACTGATCTCAGTCTACTGTTTGCAGAGCTTGACCACCTACACCCTATGCGTGATGGTCAAGAGAGGGAGAAGGATGTGTCTCATACTCATGGTGATTCTGTGGACATTAACACTGATAATGATGTGCGGGCTCAGGTTCAACCAAGTGGGTACAATTCCGGTTAGTACCCTCACTGATGATGATGTGCAGGCTCATGTCGAGCCAACTGTCGATACACTTAAGATTGGTGCTCTCCATGTTCCTGTTCGGGATCGATGGCAGACGAATACCCTGGTGTACTCTCGACGGCAACCACAAGTGCAGGGGAGCAGCAAGGCAATGAGGCAAGAGTGCAGGGGGAGCAGCAAGGCAGTGAAGCAAGCTCATCTGACACAGTGGAGCTGCCCATTGTGTTGCGAAAACCTACACGTGAAGCGGCAAGGAAGGGTGAGGTAGCAAGGAAGGCTCTGCCAAAAGATGATGCTTGCGATGACCTTGATATTAACAATTTTGTGTCTTACAAGGCTTTGTCACCTTCATACAAGGCGTTTGTTGCCTCTCTACAAACTGTGACTATCCCTAAGGATTGGAAGGCTGCGAGGCAAGATTCGAAGTGGCGTGAATCAATGATAGAGGAGTTAGAAGCACTGGAAAAAAAACAAGACATGGTTGCTAACCACATTGCCGGCAGAAAAGAAAGCAATGAGTTGTAAGTGGATTTTTACCGTGAAGCAGAATCCTGAGGTCAAGGTGGAACAGTATAAGGCTAGATTGGTCGCCAGAGGATATAGTCAAACTTATGGAATTGACTATGATGAGACATTTGCTCCAGTTGCAAAGATGAACACAGTAAGGGTATTGGTCTCGTGTGCTGTAAACTTTGGGTGGAAATTGCACCAGTTAGATGTCAAGAATGCCTTCTTACATGGTGACTTGAAGAAGAGGTACACATGGAGATACCACCAGGTTTTGGCACAGAACAGACTACGTGGAAGGTATGCAGGCTGAAGAAATCCTTGTATGGTCTGAAGCAATCGCCGAGGGCATTGTTTGATAGGTTCAGACGGTCTGTTTGGAATATGGGGTATGGCCAACGTAATGGTGATCACACGGTGTTCTATAGACACGCTGATAAGAAGATCACCATTCTTGCAGTGTATGTTGATGATATCATCATCACTGGAGATGAGGAGGGAATAAAGAGAGTGAAGGGGTGTCTAAGCAAGGAGTTTGAGGTAAAAGACATGGCAATCTAAAGTACTTCCTTGGCATAGAAGTGGCTCGGACAGAGAAGGGGATATCTTTGTGCCAACGAAAATACACCTTGGATCTCTTGGCTGACATGGGCATGATGGGATGTCGTGCAGCCCCTCCTCCGATTGAACAAAATCATCAAGTAACAGCACAATCAGGTGAGCTAGTGAATAAGGAAGATTATCAAAAGCTGGTTGGGAGGTTATTGTACTTGTGTCATACCAGGACATTACGTATGCCATGGGGGTGGTGAGCAAATACATGCATGAACCAAGGAGTAGGCATCTTGATATTGTTCACAGAACCCTAAGATATTTGAAGGGGACTCCGGGTAAAGGGTTGTGGTTTGCGAAGAGTGGACATCTTGAGGTGGATGGCTACAGTGACTCTCATTGGGCTAGCTGTCAAGATGATAGAAGATCAACTTCAGGCTACTGTGTATTCGTGGGAGGAAATTTGGTGTCATGAAGAAGCAAGAAACGGACTGTTGTGTCTAGATCAACAGCAGAAGCTGAGTATAGAGCATTATCTCAAGGGTTGTGTGATATGCTCTGGTGAAGCACCTACTGTGCGAGTTCAAGCTTTTGAGGAAGGGACCCTTGAGGGTGTGGTGTGACAATCAGTCAGCTATAGCCATTGCTAATAACCCAGTTCAACATGATAGGACGAAGCATGTGGAAATTGATCGCTTCTTCATTAAAGAGAAACTTGATGCTGGGATCATCAGCCTTACTCATGTCAGCTCTGGGCAGCAGTTTGCAGATTGCTTGACAAAGGGACTGGGAACAAAGGACTGTAACATGGCGTGTGACAAGATGGGCATTGATAGATATCTACCACCCATCTTGAGGGGGAGTGTTGAACCGGTATGGGCCCTGGCCAAGGTTTTTGAGTCGATGAGTCGACGAGTCGCTCAGGGGCGGCGACTCTAGACTAGTCGTGACTAGTCTAGACTCATGGTCGACGAGTCGACATGTGACGAGTCGACGTGAGTTATGCAGTAGGCAGTAGGTACAATAAAATTACCATACAGAAGCACTATCCTGTATCATCTCTTTTCCTTTTGCTCTGATCTGCTCTAGACCTCTAGTGCTTCTGCTTGGTAGCTCAGGGGAGGAGCAGACCAGCAGCAGCAACAACCATGGAAGGAGGGGAGGAGCAGACCACCAGCAGCAGCAACCAGAGGAGGGACGGAGCAGATATGCAGCAGCAACCAGGGGAGGAGGGGAGGAGCAGCAAGCCAGCAACCATGGGCGGCGGCGGTTGCCAAGGAAAGGGTTGGGTCAGGGGGTCAGGGGAACTGCTTCGATCTAGGTTTCCAGCAAGCAAGATTAGAGAAAAAAAATTGAGTCGTTCGACCCAGAAAACACGACAAGTCGTGACTAGTCGTGACTAGTCGCTCGAGTCGCTCGACTCATACCATGAGTCGAGTCGCTAGGCTGAGTCGCCCCTGCTAGTGTGACTCATCGACTAGTCGACGACTAGTCGCGACTAGTCGAGCGACTCGAAAACAGAGGCCCTGGCCCATCTAGATCTGTCTCTTGGGCCCAAGCCCATGAGAGGGGGTGATCTAGGAG